GGTCTGTTGTATGACTTAATTTTATCAATATAGTTTTAGTGTAAATTGTATGTGAAAAATCTTTACATGTGCTTGTACTGCTTAGTTGACCTTGACTTTCACTCTTGGGCTCTAGTGATCTGTATGAGAACAACATCCCACTAGGAAGTTGCTGTCCCTTCAGAATGAACATTTGTGACTATATGTTTATTGTTGGATGACATTAAGTTTTAAGGTGGTATATGATGTATTAATTTGGTATTTAATATTTTTCAAATTTTATTTTATTAAAAGCACTATGGATTACAAAATTATTCATAGTGGGGTTTTTGATATGTAACATTTCATCACTGATCGCACCACTGGTGTCAACTTTCCTCTACCAGTGTTCACAGGTTCCCCCTCTCATCCTTCCCACCCCAGCCCAAGCCAGCCAGGAATCTTGTAAGTTTGGTTATTAAAGTTTGGGACTTGTAATTTCAGTACTGTTCACTCTGTGGTTTGGATATTTAGCTCTAAAATTTCTTAACACTGACATAACTGTACTTTTTATTTATTGTTTTAACTAATTAAACTAATAATTATTTAAACTAGTATTTTTATTATTAATGAATGTCTTCCTCTAACATTTTAGAGACTGCAAAGGTAAAAGTTCCCATTTCAGAAGGATATAATTTCTATATTTTAATTTTTAAGTTCATGTTCTTTCTACATTAAAGGTCAGTTAATTCCTAAACATGCAAAATGAAATCTTAGCAAAAATGTTTTGCTAATAATATGTGCTTTAAGCAGATAAATGATAAATTTGTTCATAATACTTATGATTTTAATACCTTAATTCTCAAAATAATCTTAGAGAGAGGGTACACTTCTCCAAGTTCTACAGATGATAAAAGAGGCATAAAGAAGTTAAGTAATTTCCCCAAGATCAAAAAGTTAGTAAATGATCGAGCTGGGATTCAAACCACATTTCTGATTTCAAAATCTTTTATATACTGCAAATTGATTGCATTTCTAGGTGTTGAGATTATTACACTCCATGAAAAATATATGAAGCATTGAGTTGTTAGTAATTTATTCTGATATTTTTTTTGGCTTTTTGTGTCACACCCAGCGATGCACAGGGGTTAGTCCTGGCTTTGAACTCCTGGTAGTGCTCAGTGGACCATATAGGATGCTGGGAATTGAACCCGGGTTGGTTGAATGCAAGGCAAATGCCCTATTCACTGCATTATCGCTCCAGACCCTGATATAAATTTTATCTCCCACCTCGATAGATAACATTGATATTGGTTTTTATTGTGAGACCATACGTGTGTTCAGGACTTACTCCTGCCTCTGAGCTCAGGAATCCTGCTGATCTTGGGAGACCATCTTAGGTGCTGGGGATTGAACCTTATGTTATACATAATACTATACATACATAATGCTATATACATAATGCTCAGGCACCTCAGTGAGTAATCTTCAATTTTACTTTTTGCATTTTAAATGCAAAACACATTTAAATGAATATGTCCATGGGCTTTTACCTGCTGTGCTATAGCTCCAGCCCTGTTTTCCATGTTTTTTAAAGCTTCACTATTAACATTTCAAAATATTGGGGAAGGGAGTATAGCACAGGGATCAAGAGTGATGCTTTGTATGCTTAGGACTTTGGCATTGCATGAACCCGTGAGCATTAATGAGCATCCTGGTGGTTCCCTGACCACCAGTCCTGTGGGATTGTTCATCATGATCCTAGAAATGCAGAGCCCCAGCAGTTATTACCAGGAGTGTCCTCCAGGGTTCTGAGCATTGCTAGGAAAAACTTTTGGGATTGCCACAACCCATAATGCTGGAGGGTAAACTCCATACAAGGAACTGAAACATTCTATCCTTTTGAGCCACTAATGCAAATTTATATTACCTTTAAAGGGGCCAGAGATTGGAGGGTAATAGTATAAAGGAGGGGGAATTTGATTCCTCTGCATTGGAATTTTTATAACAAGAATATAAATGTTACTATTCTTTGTCATGAAAACATTTTAATGAGACTAACACTAGAAAGAATGATTATATATTATTCAGATAAAGTAACTGCTAACAGCTGCAAAAGACAAAACTTGAAATTTAAATGGCTTAATACAACAAGTTTATTTTTTATAAATTTATTTATTGCATCACCATGAGAGCAGTTACAAAGTATTTTGGGTTTAAGTCTCAGTCATACAATGATGAAACACCTGTCCCTTCACCAGTGCCAATTTTTACCCCAGTATATTCCCCGTCCCAAACCCTCCCCCTACCTGTGAGGCAGATGATTTCCACATTACTCTCTCTCCACTTTGATTTCATTCAATATTTCGACCCCAGACCCACCATTATTATTTGGGAATTTACCCTAACACTCAGATCTGCCAAAAAGGCAACCACAGACAATTTGTTTTCTATTGCTGATTATGAATAACATATGATGTCACGTGGCCGCAGTAGTGGCTGCACAATTTTGGAATTCCAAAATTTTAACAATTAAATCTGGAGGGATTTCTACCAAAGCCTGCTGGGTTCTGAGATTTGTTCCTGAGTCTCTGGGATCATGGCCGTTAAATAGCTTGATTAGGAGCAAGAGAGGCCATTCGTGGGTGGCAACTTGGGGTCTCTTTGGGGCTGGGAGGAAAGGGCCGGCTCCACCCCCATCCTGTGGAGCCCCATGTGTCTTGTCACTGTGGGCCCAAACCTGACTGTCCAATGGCCTCTGGAGGATGATGGCCACTGAGTCACCTGGGGGAACAGGCCAAGGCACGGATTCTCTTCCCACCTGGGGTGGCTCGGTGCCAGTAACCTACTGCGGGGAATAGATGCATTTCTGCCAAAAGCCTCTGGGTTGCGGGATTTGTTTCTAAGTCTTTGGGATCATGGCTGTTAAGCAGCTTGATCAGGAGCCAGAGAGACTGTTCGTGGGTGGTGACTCAGGGTCTCTTTGGGGCGGGGAGGAAAGGGTGGGCTCCACCCCTATCCCGTGTGGCCCCACGTGTCTCGTCACTGCAGGCCCAAATCTGACTGTCTAGTGGCCTCTGGAGGATGGCTGGCCACCAAGCCACCAGGAGGAACAGGCCAAGGCATGAAACCTATTCCCACCCAGGGTGGCTTGACGCCAGTAACCTACTGCGGGTACAATAAGTTTATTTCTTGTGTGCATGTGATGTGATATTGGTTGTCAGAAGCCTAAAACCTAGGAACCTAGCTCACTGCTGTAATGAGGCTCAACTTCTCTGCATGGGGCTTCCAGCTTAGCTATTTTTAGAGGACAGAAAAATGGACGTAGTATATGGACTCCATATATGCTACCTGGAGGTGCCAGATACACTTCTACTAATTCATCAGGGGTTGTCACATGACCCTATGTGTACCTGAAGGAACTTTCCCCAGGAGCTCAGAAAAGAGCAAGACTGCATATAGATGTACTCCCTCCCTCCGTTCTGCATCACACCCGGTGACACACAGGTGTTACTACTGACTTTGCACTCAGGAATTACTCCTGGAGGTGCTCGGCGGGCCATATGGGATGCTGGGAATTGAACGCCGGGTCGGCTGCACACAAGGCAAATGCCCTACCCACTGTACTATCGCACCAGCCCCTATTTTTTTGCTTTTTGGGTTACTCCTGGCTTTGCACTCGGGAATCACTCCTAGCGGTGCTTGGGGGACCATTTGGGATGCTGGGAATCAAACCCAGGTTGGCCATGTTCAAGTTAAGCACCCTACCTGCTGTGCTATTGCTCCCGCCCCAGGATGCATACTTTCAACTTCCCCTATACAGATTTTTATAGTAGTGTCTCAATAAAAAGCAATTGTGATGGACTTTGCAATACCATCCTGCTAAATACCTTGCGGCTTGTGAAGTGGTCACATTAATACAGAAACTCTGCAATGTTTTATGTGTATAACACATAATTTTGAATATGCGTTCCTTTCCAGTTTTCAAAAGAATCTTCCCTTAGATCTTAGTAGGGAGAGCTCATCCTTTCTTCCTTTATAATACCTTGGAAGATTAACATTTGCAATAACCGGGCAAAATCAACCTTATTTTATTAAAAAAAAACCTACCTATTTAATGTGTAGTGGAGGTTTCCAAGGGGGATATATAAATATAAAAACTCTCCTACCAATTACTTGTGTGGGTCTATTGCCCTCTAAGGGGTCCACAGGAAGTCTGGCACCTGTAGCAGGCCAGGAAGTATAAATAGCTCTTTATCATGCAGCCTCTGGAGGATGCAAGATTGGGTTCTAGTTTGAACAGGAGGCCACATTGGGAAGACCCAGAGGAAGGGTGTTGTAATGCAGGGAAGTTCTGGGACTGGACACAGGAGCAGAAATCAGGAAAGGATCAGCTCTTACCACCTTCCTCATTTAGTAACTGCTCTTAGATTCCAAGTCTAACGGCAGAAGGCCTTGTCTTGAGCACCATCACTCCAAACACAGAATCTTCTAAAGACTAATTATGCAAAATTAAAGATAAAAATGAAGTACTGAGCAAAGAACTTACTATATTACTAATTACTAATAATTTGACAACACAAACAGGTCAAGCACATCTAGGTATTTATTTTTTAACTTAACAAAGAAAGATCAAAGTAAATCAAGGTAAAACAAGATATGGCAACTTTTAATTTTAAGACCACAAGTATATTTTACAGGGTCCCTTCACATTTCCAGTAATATTCTTTCTAAAGCTACATTGTCTCTTTCTGGAACCCAAAAAGGATTCACAGATTTTCAAACTGCTTAACATATATACAAACTCTTAAACCTTATAAACATCAACAAACTTGTGAACTATGTCTCTAAACTTCTGAATCTAAATATTCTCTTAATAGCTGTCAATGTATAACAGGAAGACTGTATGTGTGTGTATATATATATGCAAATAAACACATGCATGTGCTAGTAGTTCCAGCCCTCCTGTAGCTAACTTATACTTTGATACGGCAGTTCTCATGAAACACAACACAAAGAATCTGCCTCAAATCTCTCACTAGCTATGGGGAGGAACTGCTGGCTGCAGCTCTCTCTCTCTCTTCTTTCAGAGCCTCTTTATATTGCTCTGGGAAGGCACACAGGCAGGTAACATTGACCCTGGCCAAAAACTTGAGGACTTTCATTTTGCTGATTTCAGCTCGGGCTCTTGGGCCCCACAGAAACACATAGCTTGGAGGATCACTATTGGGTTCCTGGCGGTACACCAGGTACTGCTCCTTCACTAAATCTTGGGTAAGGAGCTTCTTGACATCCCCAAAGACTGAATGAAATTTCCCTTCATATATCCCCAAGATATTTAGGAATTGCCAGATATCCTTCTCAGAGATAGAGTTGCCATTCAGGAAGATCACACCCAGGACAGGCATCAGAAGCCCATTTTTAGAATATTCTCTGCTACTGCTATGACACCCATCATCGTAGAAATCTAGCTCACTAACAAGGTAAAAGGACTGCCCATCAGGCTTGACTTCCTTCAAATAAAGACCAAAGATCAGCTCCATGCGCTGGGACACTCTGTTTAGGATCTCAGGGAAGTGCCCCCTGTATTTCCGTCTGACAATCTTCATCATGTCTTCCTTCAAAATGGGCTCTTGCATTTTGTATTTCTCTAACAGGTAATTTACCAACATCCCTGCCTTCTTAGAGAAAGGATCTCTGTGCCGCTTATTTGGAACGGAGGCCCCTTCCCGAGAAGGGTGTGCACTTTTGTTCCCTACGCTCTTGGCACCTTCATTTGATTTGGGGCCTGCAGCACCTGCCTCAGAGATGCTAGCACTGGGGGCCTTCGTGGGCTTTTGGGCCACGCCAGCGGCACAAGCAGTGGAAAGATCACCCTCAGAAACAACAGAGGAGCAGGTGGGAATCTCTTCTGCTTCTGCACCAGTGGCCTGGAGACCTGGGGTCCCATCCTGAGCCTGAAGGCGTCTCTCTCGCCGTCTCTCTTGGGCACGGATCTTACTCTTTTGACCACGAGGCATGATTGTGGTGTGGGCCCCTAAAGGAGGAAAGATAAGAGGGTGTGAGGAGCTTTAGCAATGAGATGCCACCCTGGCTTTTAGGAAACCAATTCTGAAAGTTTTGTGGGAGCACTGGCTCTTGGTTAGCTCATGCCCTGAGAACTCGGAAAAGGTTTATCCCCTAATATTAATGCCTCCTAACTCCCTTGGATCGCCTCCCCCCAAAAAGGGGTGAAAATTCTCTTATCTAGTCATAACTGTTTGTGAACTTCCAAGACTGACAGGAAGGGATTCACTGCTGTGAGGTGATCTCTCAATCTCAGGGTACTCTCCTTGGCTTCTGGCATTACCTGGAACTGTTTCATGTACTTCTTTAAGGTTACTCCCATTGACAAGGTCCCTCACTTCCCTGGGAAGAAGTGAATGGGCCACATTCTGTTACCAGACCCAGATCACCCAGGTCTGAAAGTAGGGTCCAGGCTCTCTAGCTCACTTCTTTCTGTGAAGTGTACCCTCACAACTCAAGGCCATCACATTGATTTAAGAAGTGAGTCTCTTCCCTATGAACAATGGAGTACTTATATCCCTGAGAGCACTATGAAAGAAAATAGAGAGCAACTAAGTTTGAGAGCTCTAAACCAGACTTACAGGGTTAACTACTAAGGTGTAACTTTGAGCAACCTTTGTTCTGGGGAAGGTAACTGTCTCATTCCCCACATGAGATTTGTGCCCCAACATCTAGATGTGCAGAACTGAGCAGCAAAGCTGTAAACCAAGGCTTCCAGCTCTTATGAATCAGAAGGCAGCTAAGAATCTTTTATTTTTTTGCTTATTGGGTCATACCCAGCCATTCACAGGGGTTACCCCTGGCTCTGCACTCAGGAATTACTCCTGGTGGTGCTCAGGGACCTTATGGGATACTGGGAATCAAACCTAGGTCGGTGACATGCAAGGCAAATGCCCTACCCGCTGTTCTCTTGCTCCAGCCCCCAACAGCTAAGAATCTTAAGACAGATGTTGGGGGTGGGCCAGCTAAGCTCTTTCCCGGAAATTCCAGGACTATCAGCAATACCCTGTGCAACTTTCTCCTCTGGCTATTGAATGATATCCATGTCCTCATTCAGAATCTTCACCATCGAAAAAGGTCCTAACACTTTTAATAACTGAGTTGACAGACTGACCCATTATTCCCCCTAGGGTGATTAGAGCTTTTTAGTACTGAAGGGTCTCTGATAAACTCTGTTCTGGAGTCTGGGTTCACCAATAAAGTTTTTAACCTTAACTGTGGGTACGATTTGGAATTCCCCCTTCTAACAATCAATGCTGAGTCTAACAGTGCTACCAAACCCTCACCAACGTGGTGAGCTGTAAGAGAAACTGGGGTCTTTTTTTGCCTGGCAATTGCAGCTATGTCCTCCAAGATCTATGAGCAGAAGTGCTGGTTGGTGAAGTTTCCTATTTTGAGACATACAGTTATTAGCACTGATAAATATCTTTTTACTGTTATCTGCCTGAACTCCCTCCGCCTATTGCAACTGTCCATTTTAAAGGTTTTTATATGAGGGGGCCAGAGAGACAGTACAGTGGGCAGGGTGCTTGTCTCATACCCCACTATCATATTTTTAAATTAATTTTTTTGCTTTAAAAATATTTTTAAAAACTGAATTACAGTGAAATACCAGGGTACTTCTTACCGAGCAATTGCAGCTGTGTTCTCCAAGATCCGTGAGCAGTGGTGCTGTTTGGTGCAGTTTCCTATTTTGAGATATCCAGTTATTAGTACTGATAAATATATTTTTACTGTTATCTGCCTGAACTCCCTCCGCCTATTGCAACTGTCCCTTTTAGATAAAGGTTTTTATATGAGGGGACCAGAGAGACAGTACAGTGGACAGGGTGCTTGTCTCATACCCCACTATCATATTTTTAAATTACATTTTTTGCTTTAAAACTATTTTTAAAAACTGAATTACAGTGAAATACCAGGGTACTTCTTACTGAGCAATTGCAGCTGTGTTCTCCAAGATCCGTGAGCAGCGGTGCTGTTTGGTGCAGTTTCCTATTTTGAGACATCCAGTTATTAGTACTGACAGATCTATTTTTACTGTTATGAGCCTATACTCCCTCCGCCAATTGCAAATGTACCTTTCAGACAAAGGTCTTCATATGAGGGGACCAGAGAGATAGTACAGTGGGCAGGGTGCTTGTCTCACACCCCACTACCATTTTTTAAACTTTTTTTATTTTTAATTTAATCACCGTGAGATACACAGTTACAAAGTTCATAATTGGGTTTCAGTCACACAATGTTGAAACTCCCATCCCTTCACCAGTGTACATTTATCACCACCAATGTCCCCAGTTCCCTTCCCACTACCCACCCCAAACCCCAGCCTACTTCTACAACAGACACTTTTCTTCTTTCTCCCCTCCTTTTAACCCACCACCATTTTAATCCCCAGAACCCCGTATGGTCCTCTGGGCACAGTCAGTAGGGATCCCCGAAGGAGAGCTGGAAGCAAGCCCTACTAGAACATACACACAAACCCGCAACAATCTAGAAAAAGGAGGTGTTTTAACTGGGCATTTTCCCCCACCTCCGCTAAAATGAAGAGTAGAGTTATCTCAACCTTCCGCTAAAATGAATTATTGAGGTATCGCGGCCTAAATACTTGGCCTGAAGCAGTCTGGAAGCAACAGTGGGTGCATGGCTCTGTGCCCTCAAAACTGAAGGACCAACCATCACTGGCTCCCCGAGTTCTACTTTCTCACCTTCAATAGCTAAATCGAGAAAAGACTGTATGCCTGAAACAGATACTATGAATGACTTTGCAATTCAATGCTTTAAAAAAAAAGTTAAAAAAAAAAAGGCTGACAGGTGGGAGAAGTGGGGGCGGGGATACAGTGATGGTTGGAAGGGGAGAGGGAACGTGGGAACACTGGTGCAGAAAAGTTGACACTGCTGGTAGGGTTGGCGTTTAAATATTATACGCCTAAAACTCAACTATCAATAACTTTGAAAACCACAGGTCTTAAAAAAATTTTTTTTAATTTTTAAAAAAATTTTAATTAAAAAAATTTTGGCTTTTTGGGTCACACCCGGCAATGCACAAGGGTTACTCCTGGTGGTAACTACTTAGGGGACCATATGGGATGCTGGGAATCAAATCTGGGTTGGCCGCTTGCAAGGAAAATGCCCTAACTGCTGTGCTATCCCGCCAGCCCCATATTAAAAAAAAATACTACGGGCTTTAAAGGGTGCTTGAATTTCATATATCTAAAACTCATCCTTAACTTTGTAAATGATGGTTCTTAAAAAAACAAAAAGGTCCCTAACGGCCCTCCCCAGCCAGACCCTTTGGTCCAGATTTCCCATCGGCTCGTCTTCCTTTCAGGCACGCCACGAGGAGAAAAACCGAAAGGACACCTCGGCCTTAGAGCTCCGGGCTAGGGTGGACGCTACCAACCTCAGGGTGGTATTTTGAGGAAACACCTACATTCTAGGTGGGCTAGTAATCACTTGGGCCCACCCCTCGGTCCTTACCTTACTCCAAAACGAGTCTAACCGTCCTCAGCAAAGCCGCACCCTTCGCGCTTCGCTTCGTCGAGCGAAAGCGGAAATCTGGTGAAGCTAGATCCGGCTCGGGCGAGCGCAAGATCGGGCACCAACGAGATTTCAGAATCCACGTGATCTCGGCTCGGGCGAGCGCAAGATCAGGCGCCAACGAGATTTCAGAATTCACGTGATCTCAGATCTCGGACGTGGTGTGATCTCGGACTCGGAGTGATCTCGGAATGCACCACCTCCTCTATCCTGTAGTCTGAGTCCGCGGTGAGGCTTTGCTCTTTCGTTGGAACTATTTACTCAAGTGCCCCTTAGGCTAATCTCAGCGGGACAGCCTCAAACCTTTACTTGATCACCTTTCCATAGCTGCCTGAGTTCCTAGTACTTGCTACCAGAGAAAAGGGGTTAATTAATTCAATGACCCCTCTCTTTGGCAGAGACATCGGTCCCTTAGTGCACAAAGTCCCCACTTTGGCTCCGGTTATGCCCCAGAGAACCCCCTCCCCCCACCTCGCGGAATGGGCCAGTCTTTAGTAACAAGGTTTATTCCATCTTGAGACCACACAGGTTGGACAAGTGATTCCTCGGTGGTTGTCTTTAGGGTCCCTTGGCATTGAGCGCAGACCCAGATTTTGTCCGGCACCCTTTAGGGTTTTTGCGGGGGTGGGGTGGGGTTAGGTACCCTTACAACACTCAGGGTTTTCATGTCGATCCATTAACACCCAGGTCACTCCCTCTGCAAAACGGAGGCAGACTCAAACTGCAGAGGACATTTTTAAAAAGTGTTTCACTAATAAAAATTTAAGGAAAAAAGCGCATGATTTTAAAAAAGTGTTTCACTAATAAAAATTTAAGGGAAAAAAGCATCGAGTTAAAAAAATAAAAGCTCCCAAATGTAAAGAACAAAAAAAAAAGTATTTTGGGGGGCACAGGGCTGGAGCGATAGCACAGCGGTAAGGCATTAGCCTTGCACCCAGCCAACATGGCCGGCCAGAGTTCGATTCCTCTGCCCCTCTCAGAGAGCCTGGCAAACTACCGGGAGTATCTCTCCTGGCAAGAAACCCGTGACATATTTGCTAGGCCAAACAGTAACAAGTCTCATGATGGAGACGTTACTGGGCCCGCTCGAGCAAATCGATGAATAACGGGAGGACTGTGACTGTTGGAGGGCATGTGGCGATTCTGAGTGGTGCACAGGAGTCCCAGGGACCTCATCCACAACCTAGGGCAGAGATATAATGCAGGATGTGATGCTTGCAGTGCGGTGGATATCAGGACCACCCTGGCTGTGATCCGGGACCCTCATGATGAGTGAAATCTAACAGGGTCCCGCTCTAACTGCTGAACTAGCTTCCACACCTCGTAGGTCATTTTATTTTTAAAATAAGGAAAGCTGGGGCTGTAATTACAGTACAGCAACTAGGGCATCTACCTTGCACACAGCCGATATGGATTC